TCGGCCAGCTCTCTCTACGGTTCCTTTTTGCTCACTATGTTATCAAGGAATTAACCATCCCACAAGTGCCATGTGACATCACCTCTCCATCAACGGTCCCGGTTTAAACTCTTGTATCCAGAGCAGTGGCCTTTTGTGGTGGTCCTTTACACAAGGTTGTGTAAGTGTGGCCTCGCAAATTTGCATATGTAGCCAGCACAGCTCGCTAGACAGTTCACTTAACAAGGACATGGCATTGGTTCATCACCCCGCCGTCTCAGTGACTGTAACAGAATGCTTGCAGGAAGAGCATCTTCGTTGATAACGACAAAACATTTTCGAGGGGAGTCTTTACTTAAGTGATAGTGTTTTCTAGGTTTAGCGTAGTACGCAACTGAAAGAGAAGACGAAGAAGAAAAATGCAAAATGTATGTAATAGTATAATAGAATAACACTGCTAGGTTTAATTAAAGCTGTTCCATTTAGTCGACGATTAAAAGAACATCGGCTCGTTTACTTAAACGTGTATGTATTATGTGAATTACTTTTTTCAAAACAATTTAACCTTTTAGAACCCATATTCTACAAACAGTGACAGTATTTCTAATACCACACTATTTCGTAGGAGCCATCATTTCGTTTTATCGTTCTGACATGATGGCTACGACTTTTTTTTTTTTTTTAACTAAACTTTAACGAGCAGTGTACGGTCAGGGCCAGTTTTTTGGGGGTGTGTGAAGCATGATGAATCAATCAATGCATGCGAGTACAGGGCTGAACGATCGAAACGGGTACCCCGAAAGGCAAAAGTTCCGACGTTAAGCACGATTAAAAGTTAAGAGTTAACGACTTCTCAAAATATCTCCAATTCGTTAAATCATATTGTTGTCAACGGACAACTTGCTTTGTGCCTTCTATGAACGAATCCGAATAAGGCTTCGCGGTCGAATTAGTTTACGTGCGGTACCAATAAGTTGGACGCTTTCCTGTGTAACTTTGGAGCTCTCGTATTTTTCGTGACGCCCATTTGGTTGAATCGAATCCACTCTCTACAGACGTGTGTAAGGTATAGAAGACTATGAAACGCATTAAATCGAAAATACTAGATTGTCCTTGATTAAAAAAACATAGAGCTTACGATTATGGGGTAGCTTTCTACGAAACGATTGGAACTCTGCTCCCTGTGGTACACGGATGTAAATATGCGGCCAAAACTATATTTGTTTGATTTACCGCGGGTAGAAGTTGATAGCCGTGATCCCAGCTAAAATCAAGTAACACGCTGAAGGAAACAAAGCGTAAAATAGTTAAATATAAGGGGCGTCAATAATTGAATTGCGGTCCCTATTATATAAATGACCCATCCCTAAAAGTCCAGAATACAGACGTATGCTTATTTTCAATCTGTTTGGGGATATAAGTATCTTCAGATCTGTGCGCAATATCCGCGGAAGACGCAGAGGTAAAATTTTCCAAGTGGTCAGGTAAATACTAAGCTTACATACTAGTTTAAACAATATGAGCTTAAATAGTCACGCACTGTGAATCGTCTCTCTGTTAGATCGCTTCGAATGGCGCGATAGAATACATTGGTAAACGAGAAGCCTAATCTCTCAAGAGTCTTGAGTGCGATCAATCTTTAGTTAAAGAGCGTTTTGCGCGCAATGACCCCTCTGTATCCGTAAGGTAGTACTCATTTTATCTCCTGAAATAACAATGAAGCTCGTGTGAGTACTCGTTGCAAAGTAACTCGTGTAGATATTCTTCTTCAATTAATGGCGAGGTGTATCGACGTTTGCTCGCCTGCTCAAATTGCTCGCAACCATTTGTATCTAATTAAAATATGGACAAACATTGTTACGCTCGAAATCTTGGCCGATTGTACCTTTTGGATAGAACAGGTTGAAACGAAGATTGCCGTCATGAAATCATAGCTACCTTGTCAAAATGTGGACACGTTATTGCCTTGATTCCTAGTAACCCATTGTTTCAGATGTGTATCCACACTATACGATTTGTAAGACATAGATTTTACGATGAAGGTCATAGAGCGCTAGCAGGCAAAACATGACGCCTAGCAATAAAGGAGTCACAGACCCTTCAAACCATAGATTTGATTGGTCCGACTAATATCGCCCTCTGAGACGAAAGATCATTGCTTTTACCTAGCTTGCGAACCCGTCCATATTTAGCCTCGAATGAATCTAACATTTCCTACAATGGGGAGGGTAATTAGTAATTGTTTAGGAAGTGGAGGGGGCAATTTATTTGCCTACACAAATTAGTGACCTATAAAATCGAACAGTATATTTATTTCAAATACGCTACATATACTCAACTATATAATAGATGTTATTTTTCAAACAGTAAGTCAAAAAAAGCATTGCGCCATGTTGTTTTTTGTATGAGTGAATCTGCACGGGGCTAGAAGAATTAGCTGGCGTTCCTTTCAGCGTTCGAGTCTTTGTCATCCCAACGAAGCTGCGTTTTCTCATGCACTACATATGTTCACTAAAGGTACGACTATCACGATTGCGGTATAGATATGAATAATATAACAACATATGTAACAAGTAACAGCTTTACAGATATGGCCGCCGTCGATATTCACTCATATTTGCGCTGTTTCCCTATAGTTCGATCCTACCGTTAACCATATGAAACGACGAGGTTGGCCGCCCTGCACCCCACTGACCAAACAGCTGAATGTAGACGTTTACTATGAAGTAAGCCTACCTACTGAAGTAAGTATACCTTCCCTGTAGCGCCTTCGTGCTTATGTGATGCCGTTTGACGCACGCTCTGTGTGTCATTGTATGTGGATCGGTTCGCGTGCTATTTGTGTATGAATACACGGTCTCGAAAAGGCATCGGAAAGCAAAAATGGAAGGGGGGTACCCACAACCACAGATGCATTCTGGTGACTGCGAAACGTACATTTCACAGTTTCGCCTACTCTTGCTATTTCACACAATTCAGCTCTGGCCGAAATAATTCGTCTAGTCATATTCTATTCATAGACGACATAAATTGTTGGCCGATGCCGTTATTTATGAATTATGAGTCTAGCTGCTCGCACAGGTTTCTATCGTGTTCGGAGAAGGTCACAGCGTTAACACCTTGGTGCGCTGACTGGCAAAGGCGCCAAGTATAATGAGGGTGCGTGCTACCCGCTTCGTTCTTTTGACTCAGATATACTTATCGGAACTTACTGGCGTCAAAATATACAGATGCAACGTATACTTACCACCAGAAGTATTTTCTGAACGCTAAAGTAGGGGTACGTGACTCAAATGAAAAAAACCGTTCCCTTGTGGCTCATTCCTAAATCTGTAGTTTAACGAAAAAAGGGGTGGTTCAACGAAATTTTTACGTGTGCTAAAAAAGTGGCTTCTGGCGGTCATGTTTGTTCGATATAAGTGCTACTCAACTCAATTTTAATTTCTACGAAGAATTTAAGCTACTTACTAATCATTTTCAAAGCATTCCTTCTTTAACCGATCGAGATTGGAAGGCGTAATCTTGCTAAGCTATCGTTCTTTCAACGGTACCGACTTTGAGCGGACACCAGGCCAAAACGACTAAAAAAGCACTAAAGAAAAAAATACTAACTTTTGGAACTTACCTGCATTACCCGATTAGTAATCGAACTTCAAAGAGGACTTTTAGGGAAAGCTTGCGTGTATGTATTCTCGAGTTCTTCAAACACAGTCCCTACTATGAATTTGTTAGTTTGCAATACGGCACCTTCCTCGAATTTTTAAAAACCCGCGCGAGAGATCTGGCAAGAACGTATGTCGTAGACTTTGGATAGAAAAAGTAAACTTTCTAATTATGGTGGGGTTTATCCAGCGCTAAGATATTGGACGATAGCTGCTCTTCATTAAAATTTCTCGAACGACGTATTAGTGTTCGGTGTAACAGGGCCTACAACTTGACCCTTAACGCGCTCAAAAACACCTTCATAAATACAACAATCTACCAAGTACGGTGTTTTATTGAAAAAATAGAGCGCTACGCATAACGAAACGTTGCACTTGTTGTTATGCATTTTTGTTATACAATGTTGTTATACATTACAGCTGCAATTACGTTGTCCATAGTTCTATAGGACGTCATGCGACGTAATTTTACGTCCGATTACGTGAGTTAATTAAGTGCTTTGAAGAGCTGTGTAGTTGAAAAGGTTTCGTTCAAGCTAATTATGCCCGATTCTGTATGAGAGAATCGCGACAAGCTTGAAAACATGCTATACACATTGGTCCAGCAAAAATAGTTACTGTTTTAAATATGTTCGCTGTCAGTACATCTAACGCATGGGAAGTTCCGTCTAGATGATTGGGTATTCTGGCAAAGTTGCCCGCAGACGAACTGCGATCATAAGAAGCAGGCCTATTTTGGACTAGATTAACGTGCTTATTTACTGGCTACGATGTAGACAAGTAGATGGGAAAAAAAAATTAACGAGATTCATTGAAACGCTTCGAACACTGCAGCGCAGTACAGCCTCTTAATACTTATAATATATTTATTAGTTGTGCATAAATTCAAGTTAGATTAGATCTAACTTACGACCTATTAAATAATGCACTGCTTATTATTTATTTATTACTGCCTTATTGTTGCTATCAACTGTACGTTTCGGATATAACCAAATTGGCTCTATCTGAAAATAGAACGATTCCTTTTATGTTTAGTAGGATTCATTATCAGCTTTTTCTCTCTTGTTTACGTAGACACGCTCACAGACGTATTCGTTCGTTTCTACCATTATGTGCTACACAGACAATTGTCATGACACCGAAGATAGATGAAAGACATCACTAAGGACGCACTGCTTTCCAGCTACGTGCTGTCATCCCAGCGGCGTATCACTGTTCCGCCGTATGACAAAGTGCCTTTTTTAATACGACTATTAGAATATGGATATTACGCTAGACTGAACAGCAAACAAGTGTCAAAGTAGGGCATCGACTGGGTGTCTGATCTCTATTAAATTGAATTTTTTTTATGTATTACAGAAGGATGCACAAATAAGAATAGTATTCAGTGCCAAAATGGCGGTTTTATATTCGCGCGTCATGGAGAGCTTACGGAATGCAACTGTATTTGTCCGCCGAATACAGCGGGTGATTTATGCGAAACTATCATACGCCCTTCCTATTATGGTAAGTTATTTAGTAACGATACTATGATATAACGATACTACAGTCAGTTTGTTATCTATGGTAACGCTTAAATCCTGAACATACTTTGGCCTTTAATAGTATTAAATACATTTGATAGGTTCAACCTTTAGAACAAATGACTGTTGGGAGTCAATTAAAGAATACCGATAACAGTAAATCTTGATTTTCTAGACAAGAGCACAAATTTACCATTTCCTTTTACCTCTTCTAATTCTGTTGTTCTTTTATAAACGAGTCCATGGAAATGTCAATGGTGATATGTGCCCGTGATTCAAATGTATTCCAACGTATATATTCCATGAACTCTCTTCTCAGTCCGTTTAAGTAGTAATCGATGACATTGGATTTTGTGCTAAACAAGCGAAACAACCTCGTGAAGAAAGCCACGTCCTTATCCTATCTAGTTCACTATGATGTATGCATGTCTATCATTCATTTGCTTTAGGGATATTGTTGTACGTGCGCCACGGAACCTAGCTTATCTAGAAGAGGCACAACAACCTCGCGCATATTGCAGGCTATCTCGATCACCGACTTCTATAAAATGAATAAATCTGTAAAATAATGTTATATTCATGAGCCCAATGTCCACGAGCAGCAGTAGATATGAAAGTTAAACAGCACTTAAAAACAGTCACTAGTTAAAAACGTTTTCTAGAGCGAGAATCGGCCTAATGGGGAGTGGGAGTACACGATAGAGTTCTGTCGCGCTAATTTCATCAACGAAAAACTGTCAGCCAGACCCCCGTTTGGCCCTTGTCGTTGTCTCAATTAACGTCGTTCGTTGTGTACCCCATCACTCAGTCCTGTCTGTCACGCTGGAAAGTCTACGGAGTTCGCTTGCATAAAAGCGTTTGTCTTCTTTATTCATTCTATACGTTGTTGCTGTCGTCGATTATCTGAGCATGTTGTTGGCAGCGTTGTTTACGCTGTTCGTCAGAGCTGCAAGTCCTTCAAATTGCACCAGCCGTTTAATCTTTGTGTATGCGGCGACGGCTACGCCATCCACTAATGATTGTTCCGAGCCCAAAATACGATAAAGCGCAAACGGAAAAAGTTGGATAAGATACAAAGGAGACAACGAAGAAAGGCGGTCGGTTTCAACAGGAACAGTGTTTTTCGGGAACTTCCCTCGTTGTCTATACGGCAGCCAGCTTCGTAATGCACCTTCTGCGCCTTCTAACACCATCACATTCGCTTTGTTTGATTTACTCTACACAAACCTGGCCGCCAGATGTCCTCTAGCGACGCTTGCGCCGCTGAGTCCAAGCGCTGTATATGGCCAGCTAGCCTATTTTATACACTGAAAAGTCCCCACAGCGCCCCACTATGTCCACTACTCGGCGGCACTCTTTACAGGCTGTCCTAGTTCACCTACACAGCCGTGTTCCATCTTTACATTGTTGACATTTTATTTATTGTTCCGCCTTGCACTACCTTCTTCACTGTACACCTTCCTTTGAAAGCATCCCATGCACTTAACCCAAAAGCCCTTCCGAGCCCCTCGCCTATTCCTCCTCAAAGCCACCGATCTGTACGTACTAGCTTAACATCTCGATCGTCGATGGGTCACAGGGTTGACTTTAGCTGCTCGAGAGCACAAAAAACGGCCATTAAGCAGCTGCCACGACGGTCGTCATAGCGATAATCAAACTTGAAGCCGGAGACTACAAGTACATTCTGGTGGTACCGGCCAACGGGCGGTCGTTCAGCTATGGACGTTGGCTATTTTGCGTGAATTGCTTGTTGTTGTATCTCTTCGAACCACTTTTTTAAATAATTCTTGTAAATAGAAAGCTTCCTAAAATACAGGGTAAGAACTCGATATCTAATGCTTGCAAGAGATGAAATTCCAGTCAGTCAAATAAGTCATGTTTCGCGCTATCCACTACTTACTGGCTCGTTACTTACACAAAAGAAGTTAGCGTTGTCATGTCAAAACGAAGCTGGTTGACAAAATATCGGTCAGGCGACAGTGAGACGTCGTGAGGAGCGTGTTTGGTAAATTGTTTGTCCTCTCTCCGCTTCATACGGTAAGTTGATGACCTTGAAAAACTTGATGTATAGGAGAAAGCTCAGTTCTTGATGCTGCCACATGGTGACATGGCGAGATCAGTTGAGCTGCCAAAAATCTCTGCTTTATGATGGCTGGTAATTGCAGTCTACAGTTTTAGCGTAATTTTTTGTCCCATTATTACGACGTGGCGCCGTCTATACAGATAAACATGGAACCTGACGTAAACGTTTCGATGTTAATCTCGCCAGTTGTGTAGATTACAACGTAACACACAGGTATCAAAAACAATACCCCCAGGGCGCCTGCTACACACGAACGTAAGGCTGAAATTTGTGTCGATACAGTTGATAACGTTACTATTTTACAGAATTTTACAGAAATACTACAGACTTTTTTTTTCGATTGGCCTCTTTGTTATCACTAGCCGAGCTTCGTTGAAATATCGAACCATATCATCAGTGAAACGGCTCTTTACTGCGAGTATCTAATTCTCATTAATAATGAATAAGATAAAAAAACATTGTCAGATAAGAGAAATTTATTTAATTAGACGAATTCAAATAAATGCATAGACATACTGAACGCTTAGAGCCCAAAAAAGTTTGTTATTTAGTTTAACGGGCTTTGTATGCGCACTCTTGTCACCCTGATCTTTTTAAGCATCCTTATCCCCCCTTTATCTGGCCTAGCATTTTATAGGGGAGTCGAAGGCCCTGCTAAGAAACCAAGATGCTCTGCTTGGCAATATTCCCTCCAGCGATGGCCAGTGACGCCATAAACAACTTGAGCCTGAAAGCGAGGGCTTTCGTTCGAGGGTCTCGTTAGCGTTCATTGCTCTGAAAATGGTGGTCCTGATGGTCCTGGTATCCTGCAGATGAAGTCAACAGGCCGCATTCATTCTCTAATTCCCAGAATTGAACTACGTCCCCAACAGAAACCGGTACGGCATGCGGGAGCGCCTAGTAAGCAACGGCGCTTGTCACGAACGATCCGGCTTTGGCATAGGAATTATGTAGACGGTTTTAATTTGATATGTGTCAAGCGATTTGTCTTTAAGGCTTTGGTCTGCAACTAACGACAACGCTTGGTTGTCGTTACCCAAAGAGTCACCTCACGACGCTAATTCGAACTAGCAGGTCGATGGCTCTGTGTTGTAACAAAAATTACCGGTTTCTGAGAGAAGAAAATAACCTTTTCTTACACAAGTATAATTCGAAGTCAATTTATTGGTAACATAGCTTTAATTCCGTCTAGGTTGTAGGTTCACATAGAAGCAATCACTGATGCTTTAAGACCGAGCCAACCCTCTTGATTCCGTGGTTCGGCCTTTTCAGGTGGCCATCTCTTCTCTACTCAGCTCCCGTACGCTAAAGAATGCTGTCAGTAAAATGTGCTTCACTGACATTGCTCACAACGCAGTCAATCAACACTAAGGGATGCATTGCTTGCTCTTCTCCTGGTTGAAAAAAGCCCATAGATTCTGCGCTTTTCTGTACTAGAAACACTTTTTCTTCCCATCGGTAGAAGCCAGTAATTGACACAGTAAGCATGCTACTATACGCAGCGGGCTACGTAAATGTAGACCTAGATCGCTAAGCTGACGGATCCTTATACACACTTATAATCAAGCTAGGTTCCTCTTCCTTCGGCCGGAATCTGTAGTGAACGAGGGAGCAGACTCCTACAACAGATCTCTTCGTTCTTGTGCGGTACTTGCTGCTGGTACTGGATCTGTCGTTTTCTGCCGTCAGCCTTTATCCCTCTGCTGCTACTCTACTTGCAGCACGTTTGCCTGGAACTTGCATACAGAACGGGCAGGCTGACCTACGACACAATAAGAAGAACAATGTCCTGTTTTTGAGACCGGTGTCGCTATTGCGAAACGTTGCGCAAAGTCCTCAACGAGGCAGATAATTATCCACACATATATATA